TCTGTTTTTGACATGCTTTCTAAAAGTAGATGTCATACTTCTTTTGCTTCTTCCATGCCCAAAACATTTTCCTTTGAGAGGCAACTTTAGTTTTTGGAAAAGAAAAAAATCACAAGAAGGCAGATTTGAAGAACATGGAGGATGATTGAGTACAAATACTTATTTTCGGAACAGAAGCGGTTCTCCGATTGGTTATTGAATAATCAAAAGATGCATTGCCATGCAATACAAATCATTTGGAATATGTTTTCTGACTGAATAACGTAAGATTAAAAGTCATCTGCTTATTCTCAGCCATTTACAAGTCAACTACTCGGGCAATTGCAGAGTCGTTTTGATACCTGAGCTTGTAAGAGAAACCTAATATCACTGGATTTAAACACTTTTTCAATCTTCCGAGAACATTCCTTCTTTAGCACATATTCCAAGAATATTAATTCCTGAATTTTCAAATAATTCGACTGAGAAATCATGAGATGTTCCGTTTATGATACGATATGATGCTCTATGACGTAATTTAAATTTATACAACTATATAGTCGAAACCAGTCGCTCTTCAATTTAAACTGTAATGATATGGTTTTTGTCTTTTCCGTTAATACCAACTCAATTGCTGTTATTTTCTGGTGTGCACATCCAAGTGAACACCCAACTTCCTTGAAGTAGATTCCTTTTAAATTTATGCTTCCCCCTGATTTTCTTCTTTATTTCTACATTTATTTTCAGTGCTGACACAAGAAAATTAAGATTTTTCGATTGTTACACTTCCATAAATTTTGCATTCATGTCAAAATTTTAAAATATTCGTTGCATCAAATGCGTTTCAGCTGAAGACAGCTTTTCATTTTCTAGACATTTTAACTATAAATAAAGTTTTAAAACAAAGTCCAAAGGATAAATATTTGAATTAAAAGATTTTTTTTAAATGGGAAAGAAATAAACCACTCCAGCAGCTCTACTCCTGTACCACGGAGTGGCCCGATTTTTATATCGGGTGCAAATAATCTAAATCGTATTATTTAGAGTTTTTAAGCCTACTAATTTCTATATTAAAGGACATGTTTATTATATAATCTACAACACGAGAGAAAATTGCTACTTAAAACATTCTTTAAGAAGATTTATGAAAAAAAATTATGTTTATATATAAATTATTATTTAATTATTTTTTAAAGCTGGGACATGACCCAAACTTTCAACGTCCTGTTTGCTTAAAAACATTGTGAAAACAAACATCAAACGAACTTTCTCAGTTTTAGACAATTCAATTTAAATGAAGTTAAAGCAAAGTAGAAGCCTATTACACGGCGAAGGTAAAAATTTACTCTTACAAATATTTAAAAAAAAAAAAGGAAGAGAGAAAGAAATTTTTAAAAAGTTAAAAATTTTAATAATATCATCTATAATATATAAAAGATAGCTTTTCATATAGTATTAATAAATATTTATTACGCATCACTGAGGGAAAAATTTCAGATAATTAATTCTCCGTAAAATTTTATTTGAAAATTAAGGTTAAATATAGCTGTGGCAATTCACTGTAACAAAAGTCCATAAAACACATTTAGCGTTATTATCGCTCAAAAAAAAGATGCCAAATTTCAATACGCGAAAATATGTAAATTCGTGTATATCTTAGAGAATTTTGAGTAAAAAATTCTAATTTTTTGCAGATATGCTTAGAACTACACTTACTTTAAGATGATGGTAAAACTTAGGTTATAATACAAAATGTTTCTCGAAAAATTTATAAAAATTATTTAAAAATAGAAATTTTATAAATAAAACACAAAAAATGGCTGAATTTTATTGGGAATAAACCTAAGTTTCGAAGTGTGAAATAAAGAATAAATAAATGTCATTCGAATGAATCATTCGATGTTCAGACTTGGTGCGTGAAGGTGCAGTTGCCCCTCGCTTCCTATTTTTTTGACTTCGCTGATTTTTTTGCGTTTTAGTCTGTGTGTTATATATTTGATTAGATAGCCTGGCTCAATAAAAGTAGGCGGCCAGTGTAACTCTGATTCAAAATCCGGTTACGACCACGTGCAGTGCTGATAACGACCACGTGTTTCTGAGACTTCTTTCCGATGCTTTATTTTTCTTCTTTTTTCCCCTTTCTAGTAATTCCGTTCTCCTGATGAGAAGGGACCTTTAGCTGCCCTCGGAATCGATTATTTTAATATATGTACGTTAAATACAAGATTGTTATTGCGATATTGCTATTGTATTGCTTAATATGCGGAGTAAACTCTTGGAAAAGGATTGCATTTTCCGTGTTCCTGTCATTTTGCTCTTTTTAAGCTAATAACTGGCTTTTTTATAAGATAAACAAAGATAAACTGCAGAAAGATACGGAAATTATTTATAAAGATACGCTCTCCCAACCTTAGAAATGCAAATAAACAAACATGCAGAAAACAGTTACAGTTACATGTAAGACAAAGGTTTGCAGAAAGTAAAAAACCTATTCATTGGGGAAATTAAAATATTTTAAAATAATTTTTTTCAAATGTTTTTTTCATTATATTGACATTTAAATGACTCTTTAAATATCACCCAAAATATGAATAAACATATTCAAATGCTTATAATTTCTTTAAAAATATTTTACGCACAAGCACTTCTTTTCCCTTGACCAGAATTAAAGTGGAATGAGCGATTTTATAATCTCAAATTGGAAGATTTGAGAATATTTCATATCTACATATTTTAGCTTTCTCGATTTCAGAAGTTGAAAAATCTTTAAAGATCTAGCAGTGCAGGCTTTCATTTATCAGCTTCGTGTCTCCATCAGTATGTATGTGTGCCTGTCAATAACAATGATCTGGAAATAATAATGCTTGGATTAGAGGGAATTTCACATAAGACCTTCCTTCCTTTTTTGCTTAAGATTCAGAACAAAAGATTTATTGTTAAAATTAACCTTATGAATAAATAAGTGGAAGATTGTGTCTTTCTGTGCTTCCGAAATTTTGCCGAATATTAAAAAACACTTTTCAATACACGCAATGATTTGTGGAATTCAAACTAGATGTTTTTGAAAAGTCAAAGTACTGTTTTAATAGTTTGGATCGCTGCAATTTTTCAGATTTTGTTTTGGCTGCTGAAGAAGAGGGGTTTATGTATAATCACTCGGGAACACGATAGAGCTTAATTTAAAGTATACGCTAAAATAAGTTCGTTGTTTTGCATAACTTTATATTTGCTGCATTTGCTAGCAGTTGGGCAGTACATGTAATTTATGCCCTTAAATTCTATCGGCCTGGATAGCGCGATTTAAAATGTAAGGTGTCTCATGAATGCAATAAAAAATAAAATTTACGTAGATGCTAATACATTTTATCATTTGTTATGATAAAATAAACATGAAACTGTTATATTAATATTTAAAATTTATAAACATATTAGCATACAATCACAAATTTCATACGGTCTCGCTGGCAGGATGCGAAATGTGGACAAATGTAAACATAAATCGGATAATTAGTTGTATCACTGTAATGCATACTGTGTTAATGAAATAAGCCCACGGTCATTTTCTGTTGCTTGTATTAAGGGTACGCTCAGGTATTATGAGTATTTGTCTGCAATGTTCTGCAAGATGTTGCTCGTCTCCATCTGAACAATTCATAATGAAGTGGGCTATTGTACGAAAGCGTGATTTTCCACAATTCTCAGTTAGATTTTATAACGTTTCGAGAATTAAGGGTAGCTCTAAAAGAATAGCAATTTCAATATGAAGTGCATCTAATTCAACTAACATAGCTTTCAAGAGAAAGTCATGCCACTGAAAAGTCATGCCATTTGAATTAAAATCTGAATTGGTTGGAATGGCCTGTTTCGAACATTCTTTGTGCTGCAATACATTTTATTTTTCATATACAACATTAATAATAACAGTGACATCCATATGACTTTAACCTAGAGTACAAGTTAATTGATAGATAGAAATAGTTCATTGATAGATAGAAATTCATATATATGGATAGAATATATATAGATAGATATTCATATATTCATATGTATAGATAGATAGAAGTTCATTGATAGATAGAAATTCATATTATAAATAGGCAATGTGAAATGATATGAATGAATGTTGTACCGTATATGCGATTTCAGCTTTTTATAATTTGGTTTCTCTCTAGCCTATGTAAACATAAGAATATAGTTAATAATGTATATAAACTCACATAATATTGTGGGTTTCTATCTTACGGGAATCTAATGAAAAGTTTTTTAGCTCCTATTAGACTGCCAAGCGTGCTATGGCTCCATCTGCGAAAAGTACTACAAAGTCATGTGAAGATTTTAACCTTTTTATTTTAAACTTGAATTAGTACTGGCACAGCTTGTACGTAGAAATCAGACTCTGTCACTTGCGGGGTTAAATAATGAAAATTGTAAATACAATTTAAAATGGGTTCGTAGCTGGAGATCACATTATACTGCCTAACTAAGCGTTGACTCAAACTTTCAATGGCCCAATTTACCTTCGGCTACCAAAATGGCTAATGTCGGAATACTAACTTAGTAGAGCTGTATGAGGGAAAGTACAAACTGCGAATATCAGTGCCAAAATCGCTGTGCTTGAAACCTTCAAAATCTCTCACCTGAAATAGACGCACCTCATTTGCATTTTGATGAGGGCTAAATGAAAAGCTATGGTACAGTTCTAAATTATAAAAATGGGTTAATTAAATTTATGATATATATTAAACTACTACTTATATTACCTGCAGGTATTCTGGTTAAAAATAGCTGTTAATTATTAACAGCTAAATTTTACGCGGAATTTGAGCTGCATCAATTTGTGTGTACATTTTTAGCTGCTTGATGTGTGAACTGTTCTTTTAATACTGCTTACAATATCGAAAACATAACGTTTTCGTGACACTAAAACGTATTCATGGGAAGAGAAACTGAGAGTATGTTGAATGTTGAAGAAGATTACTAAGAGCAGCATTGAAATTTAAAAAAAAATCCATAAACCAGACTTCAGTAACCAATGATATTTTTATTTATTTACTAGCAGCATTAAAATTTACATCATATATTTCTTACAATATTCTATGTGAGACATATTATGATACAATTAAAATTAGGAGTTTTATATGATCACAGATGAAAATAAAGTCAATTAAAAATTTACTTTTGAGAATCACAGAATACTTCATATGTTCAGGATGCAAAATGTCTACCTGAAAAATATAAACAAAATCCGAAGTAGTTTCTAACGCTTGCGTTGTATTACCTGGTTGTTTTTCTTGTAGTATGATACTGGTTTAGTTATAGTTGCAAAAGTCATATGTAAGCGTACTACGAATTCACCTAGGGAACAGAGTTTCATGCACAAAAATTACAGCAATTGACACAAAAGACAGAATTAAATGCATGACTGCATTTTACAGAAAATCTTCTTAATCAGCTAATCAGCTTCGCTGTTGAAGTAAACATAATGGTGAAATTAAAACTTAGGATGCAGTTTGCATTTTAATGAGTAATGGATTTCACTTAACAACATAATTCAACTACTTTATACATCAAAGGCTCATTACATATACTATATATAATGTTTTTAATAAATAAGGAAAATAACTACAACCTGCAACAAGTAACCAAAGTTCAACTACTTTAAGGACCTGATGTCTTTCGCTTATTAATTAAAATAAGATAAACTAGTTATCTTTTATTTTTATATCATAACTAGTGTTTATCTGATCGATCTTCTCTGATTATGTACACCAAAGTTAAAACATTTTCCCATTTGCTCTTATATGTAACATATATTACTCTGTAGACGGATTTTAACTCCTTATAAAAATTAGCAGTATTTTGATTGTTGTTGAGTCGAATATGAAGGTTAAATGTCAAAGTAATGGTGACATTGCTCCGAATGCTTATAACTTTCATGATGATTTTGTTCAAAAATGAAGTACTTCGAAGAAATATGAATTTTAATTCGTATGGTAAAATTAAACGATACCAAATAATTGAAACTTCAAGTTCAGACTAAAGGTTCTGTAGAATGTGGCTGGAAAATTTTGAATTACTTTTGAGGGTAAATTAAAATTCCTGCTGATATGTTTGATAAGAGAATATATTACACTAGCGCAGCTACACTTTTGTACACTAGCCTTTTAAATTCTAGTAAAAGATTATCTCTCAGTATGATGACTAGAATATTTAGAACTCCATTAGATTCATATATGGAATTTTAAAATACTGTATTATTGCATACAATGTCACATACTATTAGATGACTTACTTAATTGAATTAATTAAATTACGCAAATTAAATTAAAATCAGCGTAATTCAAACTGTCCTTTATTTCAATTTCTACTCAGTCTGCCTGTATATTTTATTGCAAAATAGGAACAATAATAGTCGGCGGGCTTCTGTTTTCTGCAGTGTCAGTTTTGCAAAAAGAATTCACGTTTAGAAAACCTTTAAATTATCAAATGCACACTGACTAGGACTGGAATTGTTGCCATATGGTTCTATTGCAGAATTTTTAGAACCGTATTTAGGAACAAGAGATTTTGATATCATCAGTCTTTGTGCCCTCTTTTCATTACTTCCATATTTTGAACCAATTTAAGGTCTTTGCTATTTAAATTCTTTTCTAAGGCGACGTTTTAGTTTAATACAATGAACTTTAGGGCTTACGGAATTTTAAGTTCACCGCATCCTGAAGAATCGCCTTCAGCTAATAACATAGAACCACTAGTGTCTTATTTTTGACAATAATGATAAAAATGATCGCTATATGAAGCAATATCAGAGAACTGATTTAATATGTAATTAGAATATTTTACGCTATCAGACTTTTATGACAGTTACTAAAATTTGAAAGCATTATTTCTGACTCAGGCCAAAAACGTATCCATTATTTACAAAGCATCCATGCAATACTTCGTTATAGTTGAAGTATCCTTCTTAAATTAAAAATCTGTACAAAAACTCTAAAACGTAATTGTTATAAAGATAAACAAAGTCAATCTCACATGAGGATTTCAATATGCATCACATGTTAATATTGCATCACTTTCCATTCGATCGTTAGATACATATCAATAGTGTCAATGCAGTGATAGTTAATATGCAATAACGATTTTTCATAATCTAACTGTTACATTTTTGGCACGGATGAATGACTTAAATCAAGAAAACATATAGTTCTTCCCACAGTCGTTTTTCAGGGAATGAACGCTTTTAATATGACTAACGTTACACGTATATAAATATGAGCCAGCTGCTCTTGGAAATTCCTCCAGGAAACCTTTCCGTCCATTAGGAAGCATCTTTACCGTAAGTAAAATTTATCCAAACCAATTTCTGTCAGACCTTTTACTGTTTAAACCCTTTTTTTAACTGAATCAAAGACTTCATTTTTGGAATGTCTCTAAAATGATTTGTTTTTAAGCAAAAATTTTCTTTTGTGCGCTACTTTTCTATAAATAATTCCTTTGGTGCAAGTAAATAGCGAAACATAATATACAATTTAACTTGCCATAAAAGTGATGCCCTTAATAAATTGTACCTCATTTTATGCGGCAAAGCAAACACTGGTAAATCATAGTTTGGACGTACGAGTACCGTTAATTTGCTTCGTTGATTAGTGAAGTAACCAGATTACGTTTTGTTTAAAGTTAGTACTTGTTTAAAGTAAGCATAACAAATAAATTCAAAAGTTATTTCAAACTGTTTATGAAATAGTTAAAGGCATGAAACAATACCTGCGAACAAAGTTAAAGTAGTAGGTTTTACACGGATGTACTAAAATGGTGGTAAATGTCTTACTATTAAACACTAAAGCTAATTGTTTCCCAATGAAGTTAAAAAATATTCTTAACTTATTTACTAATAAAAATCCTATACATGAAATTTCGTCTTTTATGCAAATTATTTTTGAATCCCTATACATATTTTGTCATACTTATATATCGATACAGAGATATTAATATTATTGCATGAATATTTACTATTTAAAAATGAGGGAAAAGAAATTTATTTCATAAAAAATACACTGTATTCATCAAAAGTGAGCAATTCTAGAACTAAGTTCTCAAGCGAAGGGGGGAGGGACTTCCTTGGAAAGGAATTTCATAGCTTCAAGGGAGAATGCGGTTGAGTCTTTTATTTACCTGTTAATTTTTAGTTTTAGATTAGAAGTATTAAAAACTACTTTTATTCAATTTTTGGTACTTATCAATATTTCCGATGTTTTTTTATTTTTAATTTATGAAAACATGTTAAACAATAATCTAAATTTAACCCTTCGGCGATTGCGAGATTAAGCAGTTCTTTCTTCCAAATACGTAGTGTATCTGTTTATCGTAAATTTTTAATGTGAGCTGTGTTCATTTGCGCCCACAGCGGTGGGTAAACGGAATGCCAGCTGAGCTCGCTGGTGGCCATCAGAAGATTTAAAAAATTGTGTATGTATTTTTAGAGTTTTGCAAAGCGGCGGAATAATCGTCTATCAATGATGAAACGGTACGCTTGGGGCAATAAAAGCTGCGAACCACTGTTCTAGACTTTATTCAGCTACGAGCAAGAAAAGTATGAATAAAAGTATGCCCATTACTTACTTTAACTAATGAATGGGACAAATATTTGACTTAAATATAATACGTAATATAGTCTGTAATTTATTATTATAAACTTTTACTAGATTTATTTTAGTATCTTTTAAAGTTTAAAAAAGTTTAGTAGTTTACATAATTAGTTATTAACAAGTTTTATTAAATTAATTAATTAAACGCTCACGCTTATATTTGAAATATATGTTTTATGCTCATAAAAAAGATCATTGAATTCTTAGAGTATTATACAATTTTAACAGTGTTTAAATCTATAATGATAAACTCATTTTTCATGGCTCATTTGTTTACATACTGCATTTAGTTAACTTTACTTCCCTTAATTCTTATCATACAATTAAGAGTGCGATAGTTTCGCGCTTAATTTTGCATGAAAATTTATATTTGTTTTATAATGTTATGTTAAATGCATTTATATTTCTATTAAAAATGTTTTAAGTTTATACAAAACTGTATCGAAATTTGAATAATTAACTCCTGTTTCTTCAAAGAATAATTCATGCAGTTCTGAAAGCACCACCATTCTATTGGTTGTAAAAAAAAACAGTTAGTTACATTTCGGATTTTTATAATATCTGGCTTTGTTTACACAGATTGACCTAGTACGTTTTTAAAATATTTGAGCATTTTTTAAAAATGTCTTACGTTTTTATGAAAATTTTGCCTGCTTATTACAAAAATTTCTTTGCGAGACGTAATGCATTCATTGAAGTATTGAGCATTACATAATAGTTGGAAAATTATTAAACTGCATAAAATTGAAATCCTCATTGAAATACATGTACACAAAATTGAAAAATAGTGATAATAGCAGTTCTCTAGAAAATTAAATGCATGTTTCATTTCATTTTAACAAAACAAACAATACTCATCAGCAATAAAAACAGAACAACTTCTAAACTTACTGTTCACAACATTTACAGAATTCCAATTTCTTTTTTTCAAGAAGACTGAAAAATATGTCAAAATATTTACAACGAAACAGATTTCAATTTAAGTACATTACCGCACTGAAAATATTTTCAAAAATGTACACATTTTTACGTGGTAGAAAATTAAAATTTAGTGACCGAAAAGCTAAAAAATAAATGCTTTTATACACTCTGCTTTGTTTTAATGTTGTGTACGTTTTATCTACAAACAGGGGAACAATTTTTTAGTATTACTTGACACAACCTGAAACTTCCTTTAGTCATAATGAGCAATACACAATAAATAAATTTCTATAAGTAAAATAAATACACTTCGTTCAAATGTCTAAAATATAACACATTCCGATTTAGAAAGAATATTCATCTACATAAACAGTCAGTGCCATTACATGTACCTCACAATAAATTCGAATTAAGACGAGAAAAGCTTATAAGCGCAGAATAAATAGTAGGAATATACAGTACATTTAGCACATAAAATACATCCAGTACACAATATTAAATCCAAGGAAGAGGGCTGGAAATACAACACGGCTCATTTTGTCAATACGCTTGGCATGTAGCTTGGTGTCAAATCTGGCTGTTGTTTGAACCACTGGGGACACAGCCGGCACATCTCCCTTTTCTGTATCCAGCACTGCCTAAAACATCAAGCAGATTGAAGTGGCCTTACCAAAGAGAATATGTTTCAAGGAAAATGCTACAAATTTCATCTAGGAAATAATTTCAAAGAAAATTAAGTTACGTAATTTAGACAACTAGTACGCATTTTAAGGGTTTTTGAAGCTGGATTTGTGACAATTATTCTTACCTTTTACGAACAGTTAGATTTGTAATAAATCCTATCCTACTCTTGTTGACTCATATCATAATGTTCGCCCATCATAATCGCCATATCATAATGTAATTAGGTTAAACCTAATTACATTTTTCTAATTTAAATTTTTGATACTGAACAGTTTACAGGTCCAACAGTAATTGTGATGGCATGAAATCGAATTTCATAATTTAGCTCAGGGAATAAAACTACTCATTGCGATTTATGATGTTTTTTTTTCCCCTTAGATCACTAATAAAATTTTTCAGAACCAATGTATCATTAAAAACCTTAAAAAATTTTTATAATTATTTTAAAATAACATTCATTTCCATAAAGAAAATAAGCTGAATTTCCTTGTATGGTTAACTAGGCAGTAATGAGAATACACTTAGGCACTGTAAAATTAATTATTTTTCAGAAAATATTTTAGGGGAATGAAATGACTGTTTCTAAATATTTTAATTACTTCTTATATACTGTCTGTGAAATTTTATGAAAAAGAACAATTTCTGATATTACTCTCCATCTGTCATTCGCATGAAATAACAATTAAGAATTTCTTTATACCACTTACCTTTGGTTAATTCTCTGTATTTAAAAAAATAATAATAATAATTAAAAAAAAGATTATAAATTTGAAAGCCACTAATGGACACCTGATAGAAACATATTAAGAAGAAACAAAGCGAAGGACAACGTGATATTTTTTAATGTTTTATTGCCCGTTTCTTATTTCAAGGATCTAACATTTGCTTCATATCTTTCCTATTTCGTTAACTATTTTAATTCGTCTCCGCATTTTTCTGGCAACTCATTATTTTGTTTTCTCAATCAGGCTCCTAATCCACAATTAAACTTGCATGGTGAAAGAGGACTCAAATGTTATGTGTATTAGTATTACACTGTATAGTTGGGGAGCGACAACGGAAGTAGCACGCGTCTTTTTATCGCTCCGCCTTAACTCCTTCACATCTAGTCCGCCGACACGGCCCTACATTGAAACAACCAGAACCGCCCGAAAACGGCCGCGATTGTAATCTTCTTTTCTTCCCTCCTCCTAAGGTATGCACTAGCAGGTGCACTTTCCCCAAATGCATTGTATAAGTTTACTGCAGACAACTTTTTCTAAGAAGTATTTTTTTTATCTTTTTGTTTGATCGTGACATTTCGTTGTTGATTCTTTTGTGGTACAGTGTGCTTTTAAGCTTTAAACAGCAATAAAAGAGCAGTTTAAAAATTTAAGGATTATATTTATTTTTAAACAATTTATTCCTTCCTATAAAAATAACGGAAATAAACAAAATCTCAGTCGTGATCATAACAAAGCCGGAAAGGCTTGTTGATCTGACCTTCAGAATAGTTTTATAAAGAACGGGGTCAAAGGCTAATGGAATCTTTGTTAGAAAGTACAAAGGATGTCATTGGAAATCTTCACACCTATTTTCTGCGTTAATGGACGGAGAGGGGAGGAAATTGCTGTGAAACTGGAAAAGTATTTCGGGCGGTTCTGGTATTTCGAGGATACAGCTTAGCGAAAGGTCTGGATTTCAAAGAGTTAAAACCGTGTATATGCAGATATAGTATGTGAAAATAGTATCATCATAAAGAACAAGCTCTAATGTACATGTTGTTATATCTTTTTGACCGTGCGACGCTTATGAAAATTTTTATGGACTATTAAAGCATTTCCATAATTGTGCATTGTGTAAAGCTACGGACTACAACTTTCATCTCCCTAGAAGCAGCGCTTCTCGTTTGATAGTAAAGTGATTTACATCGTTGGATGCGAAATTATTTCAGGAGAAATTCAAGCCAATTTTTGAGTCCGTCCAATAATTAACGGAATAATTATAGCCAAATTAGTGAATTTTTCCTTGTGGTCCGAGCTACCACCCGGTAACTTTAACCTTCGCAGTGCAGCAGTGCAACCCTTTGCCCCCACCGCAAAGGGAACTTACAATGGAGCTGCAATAAGGATTGATAACAAAAGAAAGTGTGCGTTTTTATTCAAAGTCATATTTCCGCTGCTAATTACTTTAGCGCCTCCAATCTAATTATATCATAAACAGAATACCGAGTGGAACTAAAGTTTCTGAAATTGAAGAAAATCGGACAGTCAGTTCGAAAACTGCAAGTTTAGCTATTAACACAGTTTCATTCGAACTTTTTACACAGCGAAGGACACCACCAACTCAAAATTCAAATTTGACGGAATAGTAAGTTAATTGGTTTTAGTGATTTAAGCAAATTTTTCAATGACAAGCAATTATTTTCAACGCTTCTAAATTTTATGTTTACATTTGTGCGTAAAGAGTGTTCTAGTCTGAAATTAGCAAGCCGTTCTATGCATGCAACTAATTAACTTCGGTTAAATTAATGACTACATCTGAGTGTGTACAGCGTTATAGAGTGAATTTAGACAAGGCCATTCCATGTTCCGCTACTAGGTAATATTCATTCAATTCGGATAGTAGCATTCAGTGAGTATCTGTGGTTTTAGTGTATGAACGAACGTATAAAATACAGTGCAGGTTTCAGAATGTGTTCTTTCTATGGGATCTTATAATGGAACAGAAGGAGAACAGAACTTCATAAGGTAGTATTTTAAAATTGTTATATTGCATTGGAGCATTTTTGAGTTTTCATCTTGCATGCCACAGTTAACTATCCCACTGCTAAAATCTACAGTGACAGAATTTACGTAGTAAAATTTGTAATAAATCCGCAAGGTACGTTCAGTGGCCTCGTTTGTCTCGTATTATTGTACCTTTATACATTATATATTCATTTTAATTCTCAAATATTGTGCTTACCGGATATTATAATTTTAATTTCTGTATTATTTGAATATTCCTAGTAGATGTGGCACCCATCGTAATTTAAACATACTCATGTAAATAATGTTAACGGAGTGTAAATTGTATATCTCAGTACTCCATAGTTTTCTTTCATTTCCTTGTACATTGCATAATTGAATTAATTGTTTGTTTTGGTTTTTTTTTTTTTCATTGGGTTGTCTTATGTATAGCTGCTTAATAATTTATTAACGCTGTGCATTCCCTCCATATGTTTTGTTCTCAACTATTAGCACATACTTATCATGCAATTTTTTAATAGTGTTTATTGTGTTTAGTTAAGGTACTTCCAACTGTTTAATTCTAAGTTTACCTGTATATGCTTATTTAAAGGGGCTGGCGGTCGAGGCTCTGTACCCTACTGAGAGGATCTCTCAGTGCGACGGTGCATATTCTACGCAATTACCATCCTAGTGCAATTATACCTATCCTACTTGCTGAGTTAAACCTACTTTGTATTGTTTATGCAAGATAATTTCTAGTCACTAGAATGAGCTCGCAAACTCCAAAATCCCAAGCAAACTCAGATGGTGCTATGATTAATGTGAACGCTTCCCCTCCAGCTGAGACGCGTACCACTACTATCAATTCACCAGCTTCCAGAATCGAGACCATCAATCATCTTAGCGACCAGCTACATTCATTTTTAATGCAAACAAGAGACAGCCGCAAATTCAGCGTGAGCGAGAAAAAACTGCTTGGTTCATTAATTACCTCTATCCGCAATACTTTTGCAGAACAAGAAGTGTACTGTGCAAGTCTGCAAGGAAAAATTCAGCTGCTGCAACAGCAACTCAGCGTGAATGATAATCGTTCTTTAACAGTTCCGGCCACACCAGAAGACCTTCCAGAACAGACGGAAACAGAAGAAACCCCATTTACCGAAGTCAAAAAGAGAAAAAGAAAAGCACGAACTGCGCAACTTAACAAACAGTTATCAGACCACGTCCTCCTATTAAAAGCAAAAGAAACAGATAGAACTCCAGAACAAGTCAGAACACAACTGACTACTGAACTTAGCGCCAGGGAACTGGGCATTACTGTTGAAGAAGTGCGGCCCACACGCTCTAACGAACTTTTAATTAGGTGCAGCCACAGACAAAATATAGAAACACTCAGGAAAGCGATTGAGGAAAAGCCCTCACTCTCAGCAGCACGCTCAGAGAGCCCTCTTTCAGAAAGTCCACAATAATCGTCTTTGGTACCCCCACATCCGCAACAGCAGACGACATACGTGAAGCTTTTGCGAGCCTGGTGCCCTCAGCAAGTGAAGAACAAATACATCCAAGAAATCCTATTCGCACAACTATCGGCCACACTTGGATCGTCGACCTACAGCAGAATCTGTACGAGGATATTGAGGATATTAAGGACCTTAGAAGAATTCTTATAGGATTCAGCTCTTGTGCTTTCAGAAAATACTTTCAAGTTGCAAGGTGTTTTAATTGTCAGCGGCTAGGACACTTGAGTCATTCTTGTAAAGCAGCGTTGGCCTGTGTAAACTGTGGACAAGCTCATAGCCAGGATAACTGCAAAATCAAGCCTGATATCATAGCCACCACTGGTATCGCATATCACAATGGAAGGTTAGGAACCCCTCGTTCATGCCATCGCTACTTGAGCGTGCGAATTTATATAAAGAACAGATGGAAAACGAAGTACAAACAAACAAAACAAATTTAAAGATGCGCTTTCAACCCATATTGAAAGTCTCGTGGCACAAGGCAACAGTGGAAAATACATCGACGCTACGCATGAAGATCTTATGCAAACACTTCTCACAATGTGCGAAAAAGTCTTGAAAAGGAAAACTTAAAACATAAATTAAAATAATTCTTTTCTTTGTAAACCTTAGGAAATTAGATACTCTAATTTTGATTAAGTAGCTCAGGCTTCTATCTGAGTCATTTTTTTCATTCATTTACATCTCTCACGTGGATTTCATTTGTTAATGGGAAACCACTCAATGGCTATTTTCCTTAGGGAAAGGATACTTTCGTGGAGGACTTTCTAAGGAAAACAGGCACATGGGGAAAACCATGGAAACGCCCATGCAGCCAACACGTTCGCCGGGATTCGAACTCCGAAATGAACTACTTGTATTCAGAAACTTTACCGCTCGACCGCTGGTTGGCTTTTAATTTGCTGGACCTCACGTGGATGTTATTCCCTTTTCTATTATGGCTGGAATGTCGGTGAAGCATGTTGTTGAGATATATCAACTACGTATTTTCGATGAAATTAGGCCTCGATTTTCTAGACAGGTATGCTGTTGGTGTCATTAATGATGTATTTGTACATAGTTTTTACAGTTAAGTCCCTTTTTTCCAGTTTTTGTGCGATTAACGATTTTTGAAATCGGTCTTAAGCTGTGAGAAGAATGAATCCGCATTGAAACTAAAGAAGAAAAATAATATTGTAGATAGAAACTTGTGGGTCTGTAGAAACATTTTGAATGGGAAAGAGTGTGGTAGTCGACGAAATAAGAGGTTTTGATCTTGGTTTACTTCCAGCAAGCTGACTATAGAAGAGACCTATATTTTGACTTTCAAAATATTAAATCAGAAAGAGACGTCCGAAATAACGAAGGCATCGCAGTTTAGTTCCCATCATTTGTATGATTGGCGTGAATTTATTAATGAGAACATTTTGGATTATATTTTTAATACTTCTGAGAAAATAAGGGGGGGGTGAGGACAAGGTGGTTAAATTGACTAATCTAAATTCAGGAAAAAGAAGTATCACCGACGGCATCCCATTGAGAGACAGTGGGTGTTTGGAAGTGTTGTTAGGGTGTTTGGTAGATTGTTTTTATTGACTAAAGCGAAATATCGAGTGCACTCTAAATTTGGTGATTTCATTATTGAGTAATGACATTATCCTAGTAACCTGACTTTCGTAGTAGGGTCATTATTCTAAAACCTCTTTTTTTTTTTTTTTTTAAATTCGAATCAGTGTGGAGTTGTAGGATATTTATTTCTCGGTCACTTTTTTTTCTATTTCTGATTGCTGTTTTATTTTAAAAACGGCGTATTTTTTATTAGTGAAAACAGAAAATTATTTTCAGAAAATTTTATTTTCATTACGTTGAAAGATATTTTGAAATTTCAACTTTGCTTGGAGAATCGCGATCATCGCTGCTCTCATTGGTTAACGAAACCAGATACCTGTGTACATGGGGAATACCAAAGTAACATATTTTACAGCGTTTTTATACTTTTAATTTGTACTATTATGTTTAAAATCATAATTTTTTATATTTTAATTTGGAGTTTCCATTGTTTTCATTTGGTTTGTTGATAAAGTTTCTGACTAACGGTAAATATAATAGTTTGGCGATTTTAAAGAGTCGCGAAAGTCGCAACCGTGCATCTGATAAGTAACTTTTGTATTATTATTTTAATTTTTCATTTTTTAATGCATAGGGTTTTAGATATCTATGGTGTTCTACGTTCTTATGTTGTGAATTTGTGTTTATTTTTTGTTTTGTTTTTGTTTTTGGTTTATAATTTTGTGTTAGATGTGCTTACTTATTTTTAATTTAGTATTTTTGTTTGTTGTTTGGGGGCGGCTGGGTTACTGGCTGCCCTCGTTTGTGGAGATACGGGGCCCCTTCTTCTGAGCTATGGGGACACTCGTGTCCAGGTGGGCTGAAAGGAGCCTCCAATTCTTACAATTCTTAAATTAGTGTTTTCTATTGTAATTGACTTGATGTTATGTTTTCTGTTTGAAACTTTGCGTATTATTTCAAATTTGTAGTTTTTATTTTCGTACTTCATTTTTGTTTTTGAGAAATTGGATATTTGCCAGTTATTGATGCATGGCATGTCAATTTGCGCAAAGAGAGTATTATGTCCTTTAAGAATCTGAGATATAATGAAATCAAAGCCGTGTATGATGTTTATTTCCCCTAAAAAATTGTCTTCCTTTTTTAATTAGTCAAGTCATTTCTTAAATTTTTTATACAATAATGAATATTGTCTACGTAATAGTATATAATTGATTACGACGTTGTGTAGCAAGAAAACCATTTGTGAAAACATTAGAATTGAAGGGAGCTATGATGTAAATTTAAGTTCAAAATTTTATTTTTTATATCTATTAATGCCAAAACTTAAAAATCTCTAAAGGTACTAAAGCTGTCTGAAATTCAAGTGTGCGAGTCTGGGATGTCCAACCATTTCAATGAATGTTATACTTGAATTATTCTGTCATGTTAATTCAAAGTAAATAAATTATTATACTTATTTTCAGTAAAATCGAAAGCTTTATTGTTAAAAATGTTAATTTAAAATAATGAATTTAATTTTAATTTACAAAAATAAACAACTGATTGTTGTTATTTTCAGAGAAAATGATAAATTACACGTAGTATAAAATTCGAGACTGCATTACAACGTCATAAACTTAGTATCACCTATTTTTGGCATCACTATACTTCGCTTCGCAATTTTGTTTATGGAACGTAATCTGAACTTTTACCATTGTTTTGCTTACATTTCGCCCTTTAAGTCTAACATGCTGCGAAAATACTGTGTTCTCGCGAAACGTTTTTAGCGATAACCTTTCGTCAACACAGTGGGCTGGCACATTTGTTACGATTACGCTGACAATTATATGTACTCACAATATTTTTCATAATTTATTTATAAGGATATAACCTCGAACAAATTTAAAGCACGCCTTTTGTCGCATATCAAATGTGAAAACTGGTGATTAAAAGGTTTTAAAATCTAAAACTCACCTTAGATGCTTTCACGGCTATAATCGTTGGCATGGATCTACCTGGCAGAGTTTCGGGACGCTTCCTCCACATGTAGTTAACAAGAGTGAACTCAAGAAGTGCAGCGAAAACAAATGTGGTGCAGGCGCCCATCCAGACATCCATTGCTTTCACGTAAGATACAGGAGGTAAATTGCTCTGAATTCCAGCGCCTTTAGAGGAAATAGTTAGCAAGGTAGTCACTCCCAGAGTTATACGCGCAGGGATAGCATTCACATCCAACCAGAATGAAACCCACGAGATGACCACTATTAATATAGTAGGCAAGTAAGATTGAACGAGATGATAGCCGACAGATCGACGGAGATAGAACTCAGCCCGGAGACAACTATATTCTCCTAAAATATAAAGAACGATTTTCGAAGAAATTAATGAGATACGTCACTGTTGCATAGTTACTAAACTTTTCTGTCAACATCATCAAATAACAACATAAAATATCTGTGAACAATATAAAAATACACTTCCAATATATAAATTAATTTTATGTTTCGGATGACAGCTATGGATTAAATGATCTTACTATGATGAGAAAAGTCCATGAAAACATCCATTGACCTAATTTTTAAGTGTAAACTCTTAATGTTTACAAGCTTATTCAGAAGTCAAACAACAAAAATGAGCGTTTTTGATTTCTGTTGTTTGACTTCTGAATTAGTATTTATTCGGCGTGTCATTGTGTCTTAAGTTTACAAGCTTGTTTGAAGTGTTTGAGAACACTGGCATCTCATCATCCGCTAAACACTGGCATCTCATCTCTGGTTAAACGCCGTGTGACATAATGGAAGAGGAGATTTTCGTGGCTTTTCAAACGTGCAGACTAAATGTGAGTTGTGTATTTTAGAAACTCCTCCACAAAGGCATCCTTCAAAAGCGAATATATATCGCGTGTAAAATACTCTAATTTTTGCTGCTTTAAATTTATTTTCGGTTGATGTTCCGATAGACTTGAAAATAAGAAGCCTGAATCGGTGATTTACAGTAAATTATTGAGGCTTGCGCATAAAATGTAAAGCCTCATTTGCCGCCAATATTTTTAAACAGTTTACCCCAAGTACAGGCAATAGTGATAATTGAAAAACAATTCGTCGTGAACGGTGCATCCGTCAGGTAGTCGGTTAATGACCTATTCACTGACTGAATTATTTTCCTGATAATGTTATATATTCAGGAAGATTTCAAACTCATATAAAAAAGCAAAGATTTTGCAATAAATGCTAAAATAGTTATCTTAATAATCAAATAAAAATTCAAAATATTCTTCCAGATTATTAAACTGAGACAAAAGTATTTAAATAAAGAACAACCTTATGAATTCGTACAAAAAATTTCTAAAATTCGTAACATAACAATTGGAAAAATGAGAATCACTGAGTTATAATCCTTTCGTCAGAGGGAAGATGTTAGCTAAAAAATTATAAAATTTCAAGAATTACCAGGTATTAATATAGTAAAATTTGATTTCAAAATATAATAAAGTACGACTTCAAAGTTGTGATAGATTACACGACCTCCCTACCAGTTCGAAAAAAATTTCATGAATTTTTGCTTCTATTCTCTCTCCTGAAAACGTTAAGAAGAAGCTGAAATATACTATATATTATCGTTATGGTGAAATAAAATTCTTAAAGCTGAAAACTTGCCCATGAGCAGTTTTTCTATAAAATGCATATTTATAAACTCTAAATGTTTTTTCTTTTAATTTTCAAGCTCATTTTTTGAACGAAGTATCTTAAAACGAATTAACAATTTCGCTAACATATTTATAAATTTTTAATTATATGATTTTCTTAAATTTGGGTCTAATGTACACAGAGCCTTAAAAATGCGCATTAATGTTTTATAAAAGGTTAAAAGTAGAGGAAGGAAAGACGTACAACTGAATAATAAAAGACACTTGGAAAATAAGATAGTCGGCAGTGATTTCCGAATTTTTTTTTCCTGTGGCTGCGCATTATCTGATACGTTGTATAGCAGGCTACTTTACGATCTCATTTATAAAAATAATAATAGTTCCTCCAGAAGTTTTGAAGTCCAGAAGTGTTGAAAAATATATCAGGTTCTTGCGTATCTCCAGAAATAATGTCACAGAAAAGCGGTCAAAAGAAATTCAGCAGACAGATTTATTCAGGAAATCTTAGATATTGGAGGTATAATCATTCCGACGAATATGTTTCGCTGTTAAAAGTTTGAACTGCGGCATCTTTTGTCTTGTTAATTCAGTACAAAGTCTTGTATATCTGGTATGGAAACAAAAGTGAGTGACCGTATCAAAGCTTATAACGATAGGAATTATTTCTTAATAAATTATTTTATTAGGATTTCAATTAATGTCGGAAATAAATTTAAGGCAGAATAAGGCATAAATAAACTTTTGCTTTATGTTCCGAAGGTCTTTACTACCTTATTGACTGAACGTTATTAACTGTCGTAGTAGTCACCTGAATGAAAGGACTTCACCAAATGATAGTTCTCCTGATTCGTCTTCTACAAATGCATTAAACTATTAGTCCTGCTAAAATGCTCTTTTGTTTTTGACTGTCGTCTACAGGTTGGACAATTTAAATTTAATTTTGCAGATATATTTATTCTTTTGAAGAATCCGGTCAGAAACGCCGACTAGATGAGACCATTTGCGAATAGACTGAATGTTCCTTTATTAGTGGATTTCTAGTCATATCAAACTTTAATTGAGTTTGCACTAAAGAAAATTTCACCGACATTGACTCCCCAGTAGACGAAATTTCCTTTTCGGGAAGTTCTCTTCTTCGGGCCTTTTTCTTTGAGTGGGTTGTTACTATATAAAGACTATCCTTGACATGGTAATAGTTAACTGCCACAAAAAAATTTCCGTTGCTTCACGATTGTCACAAACCTCACTTCATTTGCACATCAGTAAGAATACAGGCCAGAGTCGCTAACAACCTAAAATTTTACTTAATTTTTTAAGCAAATACAAGAGATGTCCAATGATTGGATAACTGAAGCCGCAATAAAAGTAGTTTGGCTAGGATTCTATTTTTGCAGTAAAACAAACTGAATGCATTTGATTTCCGTGTTCTTCTTTCTGCGTAAAGCAAGCGCTATCCAGTTTCCTTTATAAATTTCTACACAAAAAGGCCACACTCGTGTGTTGTACCGCAATAAATTAACACTCTAATCCTAAGTTGGAGAAATATAAGAAAGTTATTAATTAACAATTCGCCAGTTTAAAATATATAGAGACAGCTAACCAAACATTCACTAAATTTACTTACATACATCACTATATTCAAATAAGGAAAGAGAAAGACCGAAACAGAAGTAACTGTTTTGTCCTAAGTACAGTTTATTGCGACTAATCACTACGCTTTTCACTTCTAGAGAACTTAGTGTCCAAACTTTCGCCTTCCCGAATGTGTTACTCTTTTGTATCATTATACAGTCATCATATGACAAATCCAATCCATTTGACATTGTTTCTATAAAATACACTGCTTGACATTGAAAATGCAACACCAAGAAGGAGTGGTCAGAAAGTGATGAAATTTGGAAAAAGACAGAGACAGCAAGCAGCAATAAGTGATCTTTATTTCAAAATGATAGTCAGAATACAGAGCGAGAACGGCGTCGGCTCTATAGGATAAGTGATAAGTGACGGGGGACGTGGGCACTGACCCTTTACCATAGCGGTTAATCAGTACATCAGTAAGAATACGCCCACCATTATTTAGAGAACAGCATTAACATATGTAACTAGTATTACAAATAAAGCATGGTACGATGTACATAGAAGGAGTAATTACATCTAGAAGAGGCTCAATATTATAGTTGACAGCTGAGAGAAGAATCTGGACACCCGTGCGGCTTACTTAGACTATTCGGGTCTAGTCTAGGTTCCGCAATTATCCGGGGCAACACCTCATGGTCCTTATAAGGGCATACATTGATCCTGTATACATGCTTTCATAGTTCATAATATATGCTTAGAGTTACATAGTTCGTAGGAACACCGAGGACAGCGATGCACGAAGAAACACGTCTAGACAGTCAATAAGAGTGCGGATGGTGTCCTGAGGGATGGCTCTCTATTCCCTTTCAAACATTTGCCACAGTTCGTCTTCTGAACGAGGCAGGGGCAGAGTCTGCAAACGGCGTCCAATCACATTCCACACATGTTCGATTGGTGACAGGTCAGAAGAGTACGTTATCCTGCTGAAAAATTGCATTAGGCAGCCCCTAAAGGTAGGGGATTGCCACCGGCCGCAGTGCATTATCCAAGTATCGTTGAGCCGTCATATTGCCCTGAATACGAATTAGAGGGGACCTGGAATCGTAGGCAATAGCGCCCCAAACCATTATGCCACGTTGTCGCGCAGTGGGGCTTTCTACAGTTACTGTCGGATTAAATCTGTCTCCACGTCGACGCCACACACGTATGCGGCGACTGTCACTGGATAAACAGAAGCGTGACTCATCTGAGAACACGACGTTTCGCCATTCTGTCTTCCACATCGCTCCAGTCGGCACCATTCTAAACGTTGGCGTCTATGCGGTGGGGTCAATGGCAGTCTACTTAACGGACGCCGTGAGTGCAGGCCACGTTCAACCAATCGACGGGAAATGGATCTGATCGACACGGGAATATCCGGATATCTTGCACATGCTGCAGAATCGCGGTACAAGTGACTTGCGGGACCGCCACAGCTTGTCGGCGGATGCGTCAATCCACACGTGCTGACGTCACTCTAGCTGCACCTGCACCCCTCCTTCTTCCCACATTTCCTTGTTCCAACCATGTTCGCCATAACCGATGCACCATGCTCGCAGCTATGTGGGTATCAGCTGCGATTTGACGTAAGGACCAACCCGTCCTTCTCAGTCCGATCACCATACCCCTCGTAAAATCGTCTGTCTATCTGCTGTAAGTGCCTTCGTTGACGGCGGCCTGGCATTCTATCCTTTACACGATACCAGAATGTTGTTAGTTTTCTAGTTAGTGTGTGGGGCTAATACCTGCCTACTTAGGGTAAAGGGTTAGGTGGCTCGCGTCCTCCGTACACTTGCATCACTTATTACCAATTTTCTTTTTATTAAACCAACTTTCTTTGATAATTCGTCTGTCATAAATAAGGACACGAATATTGCTTATTTTGCACTTTTAGATGTAAGGTAAGTACATCTTACTTTACGTGCGTCGGAGAGCTGCGCATTTTATATCATTCGCATAACTCAGTGACGTGCGTCTACTCTAAAATTGCATAAATTTCGACCACTCCTTCTTGGTGTTGTGTTTTCAATGTCGAGCAGTACATCACAATTATTTTACGAATTCAGTAACAAATAGTTTAATATAAAGGGGAGTGCCCTTGATAAACGTCGTTCTGAAGAAAACGACACGAATATTGCCCATTCATTGTTCCTTCCCTATAACTCAAACTCAAGAATTGCATTTCACATCTTCGCTTCCTTCTGTGTTGTGTTTCTCAATGTCGAGCAATTTCATTTTTATTCTGTGGTTTGGTTTTGTGTTTTAAAGGGGAGTGTCCTACAAAATTTTTTACCCGGCTTATTATCTGAAGATGTCGGGGGGGGGGGAGGGGGGGGTGGGGCGGGGGGGGGGGGGGGGGGGGGGGGGCGGTGGGGAGGGGAGGGGGGGGCGGGGCAGGGGGGGACGGGGGGGGGGGGGGGGGGGGGGGGGGGGTGGGGGGGGGGGGGGGGGGGGGGTGGGGTGGGGGGGGGGGGGGGGGGGGGGGGGGGGGGGGTGTATGCGGGGGGTGGGGGGGGGGGGGGAGGGGGGGGGGGGGGGGGGGGGGGGGGGGGGGGGGGGGGGGGGGGGGGAGGGGGGGGGGGGGGGGGGGGGGGGGGGGGGGGGGGGGGGGGGGGGGGGGGGGGGGGGCGGTGGCGGGGGGGGGGGGGGGGGGTTGGGGGGGGGGGGGGGGGTGGGGGGGGGGGTGGGGGGGGGGGGGGTGTGGGGGGGGGGGGGGGGGGGGGGGGGGGGGGGGGGGTGGGGGGGGGGGGGGGGGGGGGGGGGGGGGGGGGGGGGGGGGGGGGGGGGGGGGGGGAGGGGGGGGGTGGGGGGGGGGGGGGTGGGGGGGGGGTGGGGGGGGGGGGGGGGGTAAAACCATAGAATCTAATATATTCTATCTAAACTATGTAATCTTCTCAAAACACGCTTTAATTAACCATAAAGTCATGACGCGAAACCATTGCATGTTTCACTTTAGATTAAGAAGCTCTTAATTGCATAATATTATTGAAAGCAACAACCTTGTGTTTAGCGTAGGTTTTAGTCAAGACTGTATCCATTTCGAGGGCAAACAGATACATATCTTTCTTCATCAAGAGCAAAGAAATTTGCGTTGAAGGGAAAGGTTTCATTCATATCCTAAAGGAGTAAAGCGAAAGAGAAGGTAACTCCATTTGTCGGCAGAAAAAGTTAAAAAATATGAAAAATTAAATTAATGAAATTTTAAAAGAGTTATGAACGATTGGATTGGAATTAAAGTAATTAACTAAGCAGCATAAATCTTTGTGAAAAGTTTCAAGGAAATCCAATTCGCCAAAGGAAAATGTCTTTTGGATAATTTTTGCATACCCATAATCAAAACTGTGATTAAATATCCAACTATAATTAGTTATCGAAAACTTGAATTTCGCCTTTTCGAACATAAGATTCGTGTTCCTTGATGTGAAACTATAACGCTATGTTATTTCGAACGATATATCTCAAACCACACTGATAGGATATGCCATAAATTCCCTAAGAATTAAAATCGGAAATACTTTGGTTTGGTTTATTTGATTATGGTAAAGCAACTTGAGAACTATATGCTTAAAGAAAGGGATGCCTTGGTGCACGGCTTTCTAAGGGAAACTGGCTCGTATACACGGTATATATGTTATTTACGTTATATATGTTATATTCATAATTCATTAGCAAGTAAAAGCTTTGAGGAACAAACTTCGAGAGCCTGACATATAATAGAAGGAAGCTTGAAAAGTTTTTGTGACTTGAGATATTTTGGACAAAATAAAAACGCATTAAAGTTTCGTATTATGGAACACAAATCTTATGTCCAAAAAGGCAAAATTAACAAGTCTTTGAAAGTTAAATATAGGTAGAAATTAAATCAAAATTATTACTTTGGGTCTGCAAAAGTTATCCGAAAAGCTTTCTTCTTCTTGTTGAATTGGATTTTCTTGAGTCCTTGCCCATTAACAAGGATTAATTTTGTTTAATTAATGACTTTCATTCCGATCTAGACCTCCTTAATCCTGTTAAAATTCCATTGACTTAATTTTTCAATCTTAGTTACTATTCCTTCAGACTAATCGCAATACCCTCTTGTTGCATTTACTCCTTTTAAGCATATATATAACCGTGGATTTCTTATTGTTGCAGATTTTTTTGTTTCTGGTTAAAAAGGACCTGTGCCTGTATGCCCGCGAAGTCGCTAGAGTCTTGACTAAAACCTACGCCAAACAGAAGGTTGTTGCTTTCTATAATTTTATATTATACTTTGGGGTGTTTCTCTTCTGTCTTGACGTCTTAATGAATTTGGATGGGATTGCTTGATTATGATAGAGCTCGTGAAGGCTCATTTCCTCTACTCCGCTCCAAATATGAGCTATTTAGGGAATGGAGTTCATTGATCTCTTACTGTTCGCTTTCATTCACAAGAAACCTCACATAAGGATTCGAACCCTAGTTATTCGGTGCAACTCCAATCTACATGAAAATAACCACAGCGATGACTTATGATCAAAATACATAATATTGTTTTTTATTAAACCTGATATGGGCAGTTAATTTCAAGAAGCATTTAATGAGTGTATTAAACATGATACAGCATACACTGGTGTAATAAATTAAGAAAATTTTCACATTTCATCTACGATCTCCAGAACTACTGGGCAAATTTAAATAAAATTTGGTGTGAACATAGGTTGATATAATACAAACAAAATAAACATTTAACAGACTAGACATACATGTTCGTGTGTAACACTCATGGGAGTCTGAACGTCTGAAAGAGTAGTTGCAGAAGACACAAAAGAAATGGGTTAATAGGTGGTAAGGTCCACTCTTGCAGCCATACAAGCCTCGCAGCGTGATGTCATACTGGAAATAAGGCAGTTTATCGGTGCCTGTGGCAACTCGTCTCACTCACTCAGCAACGCTGTTTTCAGTTCCTGGATGGTTCTAGGAGGGAGTGTTGCGAGTTGCAGTTGCCCTACCCAGAGCGTCCCATACATGCTCTATAGGGTTGAGGTCTGGAGACCTGGCTGGCCAATCCCTCCGGCGAATATCCTCACTCTCGAGAAACTCGTCGACAAGAAGAGCTCTATGTGGCCTCGCGTTATCGTCTTGTAAGATGGAGTCCACTGCACCCCGGAAAAGAGGACATAGGGCTCGAAGACTTCATCCCTGTAACTCACGCCAGTCACAGTGCCTCTGTCAAAGACGTGGAGAGGTGTGCGGCCATTCAACATGATGCCTGCCCAGACCATTACACCGCCACCGCCATAATTGTTGATTTCGTGGACTTTGGAGTGTAGGTAGCGGGTCCCTGGCTCTCTCCATATGAACGTACGGCGAGAATTGGTGTTTAGGCTGAAACGGGACTCGTCGGAGCTTCATGAATGAGCTTATCGAATGAACAGAACGGTCGCCCATTGCTCCGTACTCCAAACATTATGTTGCCTGCACCTTGCTAATCGGACTCTCCTGTCCGTAGACGTGAACGCGACGCAAACAGCCGGTCTTCTGGCAAACAACTCTTTCTCATTCAGTGTTTTGGAAACAGTCACTCTTGTTACACGGGTTCCTGTGGTTGAATACAGGTCCCGAGAAAGCTGAGAAGCTGTACCCTCTCTGTTATGCCTCGGTAAAATGGACAAATAGCGATCTTCTCTGGCCGTCGTGGTTCTTGGACGACCTTGCGCAGGCTTTCTCTCAATGGATCCGGTATCCTGGAACTGTTTTCATAGGTTACATACGACGCTGGGCATTAAATTAAACTCTCTGCATATCTAGACTTGCAATTGGCCTGCCTCCAGCCTCCCCACAATTCGCCACCTCATTCAATCATCTAAACGTTGGTGGTTACTCATTTTTACTGTTCCGATGTGAATTTAACCGATAACTGCAAGATAACACCAAGAAATTCGCCGAGGTGTGCTAGAGGACGTGATTCATTTTACCATCCACGCGCTTATAAAGCCTGTTTTTCTGCTGGCTTCGCCTATAAACACGTGTATTTGCCATACAAAATTTGCATTTTTGCCTAGAAACAGTGATTTTTCCTTCAGTTCAGTTCTTTTCATGCAATTCGATAAAATATGCAAATTCTCTTAATTATTTCAACAGCGTATATCCATGACATTGAAAATATTCCAATGACAGGAAAAGTTTTAGATTATTGGATCATAAAAATAGAAAAAGAATTGTTTAAAAAATATTTCGAAAGAAGAAAATATTGTTGGAGAATAAATCTATTGATGGCATAATACTCAAAAATTAAATTGTAAATAATGTAACATTTTTTTAATATTTTGATAATTTAAGTCAATTTCTTAGCTTTTTATATCCCCATTTCTTGTACTGAAGAGGAGAAAATTACCAGCAAAAAGCTTTTCCTCGTTTTTCCTTTTTTTTGGGGGGGGGGGCGAGTTACATAAGACTTACTGAAAGTTTCCCAATTTACTGCACCAAGAAATGACAAAAGGAGACATCTAATCTTTACATATCTTAAAATTTCTATGTGATACTAATAGAGCAATACCTTGCTTCTTTATATGACATGACATTCGGAATCGTCTTTTTCTGCATTCTATCACTCGAACTTCTCCTTTTATGCATATTTTTTCTTTAGTTTTCGAAAATCGATCTGAGTAAAGTACGCTGAAACGCGACATAATCTCTTCAGCATCTACTGAGATAGAAGTGATGTAGATAGACAAAGCTTTCTTTTTCAATAATATTTAAATTTGAAGAAGGGTAAAAAGTGAAAATGCTATTGAAAATCTGCTTACCGATATGGAACTTTTCTTTGCAGATAGATGTATTAACTCTCTCGATTTCGAACTGGGGCAGCTTTAAGTTGTCGTATAGCATGACAGGATGATTATCTGTCCATTTCAAATGAAGTTCATCGGTCGTCTTGGAAACTAGAAGTTGATATACTTTGTGATTACAGTTTTGACTGATATATGCAAAGACTAAAAACTGCATTACAATTTACATTACTTAATAAATTTTCAGATTTCTGATAAAAATTTTTAATTATTTCTGCATGAAAAGTTATTAATTTCTCAATAATTACAAAAAACTATGATTCAGCCTTAATTTTTTTCCAGATGTTGAAAATGAGGTTCTACGTTTGCATATACATTCAAACTAGCGACAAAAAGTATTATTCGTTATTCAAAAATTAATTTAAGACAAGTTTTGTGAACTTTTTTTGTGTATATTTACAATTTCTGAATTTATACAAAAGTCTGAAACTGAAGAGTTTCTTTTGTGTCAAGAACAGCAAAGAAAAATAAGGAAATAAGGGATAGAAAATAATTCAAACGCATTGCTTTAAAAATATAAACTGTTAAAAGTTTGCTTATTAAAAAATTACATAGTAATGACTGAGTCCTAATTCTGCTCTTTAAATCTTTAGAGAGAGTTTTGTGTGAAGATTAATTACTGTATTTCTATGCTTCTTTATTAAGCGATTTATTTTTCTTTTGTTCTCTTATTCTCATCCGCATAAAAATAGGAATATGAGTATAGTCCTGTGGAAAGCATTTATAATTGCATTGTTAAAGTCCAGTTTTAATAAAAGGTAACTTTAAATAAACTGACCCTTTTTTATAAAACAGATTACAATTTTCATTACCAGTTTCTTAATTTCATGAAAATGCTAGGGTTTTTAACTCAAACGTTCTTATCATTTATTAAAAAATTTGCATTCATTCCAATTGCATTACTTAGCTGTAGCTGATTCCAATTGCATTACTCGGCAGTAGCTGATTAAGTCATTCTGCAACACTAAAGGACGTTCTGTTATATTATAGTTCCCTATCGGATGTTTTTCTTAATGAAATGCGTTCGCATTCAGAAGTATTAACGGACTAAATATTAACTCGAAATATCAATGGCTCGAATATGTAAATCTACACGAAATGTAAGAATAATATGAAGAACAGTGTGTATTGCCTGGTCTGTTTCTGCTCCCATTAGTAGTTAATTTGGTAATCTGGTTAAATTTTCCAGAAACTGAACCAGGTGGTCAATGGATGTAATTGCCCTCGCGACGGGCTATTCCATAAAAACATTACATGTTTTCTTATTGTGATTTCATATTACCGCTTGTAGGCATTTTTATAGTTTAATAATTTTTGTAGCTATTGAAATTTGAAATTAACTTATATGTACAGAAAACTTTTGCAGTTTTTATCAGATATTTTAAAGAAAATATAATAGATCTTTAAATTGAAAATAATGAACTTTGTTTTAAGATTATTAATGATTACAATGTAATGCGTAAAACCGCTGAGGCATAATTTTGCAATTTCTTACAGATATGTAATCTACGCTACAATTTACCGGATATTATATACATAAGAACTACTGTTATTTGAGATGGTTTACTTTTTCCTTCAGCTAACGCACTGTCGCCGTTCAGTTCGAATACGTATAGTACTGTTTTTACTTCTGTGGCAACAGAATCTAAGATCTTCATAGCATACCTTCGTGGTGTAATGGTCAGCACGCTCGGCGCGTATTCGAGAGGTCCGAGTCCCAGCGAGGTCATTGCACATTTTTCATGTCCCCTGCATCGAAATAACCTAATTTCTCTACAATAGGAGTGCTTTCACTTGTGCGTTATATTTTAACTTCCAAATTTAAGGAGTTCTAATTTCTAGTATTTTTCGAGATACATGAGTTATTCCAGTTTTAAATAGAAAACTTATTTTCTATGAAACAGCTTTCACACTCTCTTTAAAATATTAATCCCTGTTTAAATTTTTTGGATATTTCACAGATTTTACGGCTTAAAAATCTTAATTTTATCAATATAAACAGTAGTTTAACTTTGCTAAGTATCTTCTTTATGCCTATTACATTTTTTATTGTAACTGCTATATTATTTATGTCTTCCAATTATATACAAATAAATAGGTATTCAAATTATGTCTTTGCAAATGATTTCTTCATGAAAACGCCCAAATTCTTAATGTCTTTCATCTGTCTTATACTTGATTTTGTTCTGCTAGTTTATCTTAAGTTTTTGAAATATAGTACGTATTATTTATTGCTCATATAAACACTTTAGGTATACTTACGACACATTGATCTTTACTTTATTATTTTTGTGTGTTAGGCTTAACATTTTGCCTTATAGCTTCTTTTATTGCATTATTTAACGAAGGCAAATAGCAATAATATTTAGCATAGTGCCGTACTGCCATTCTTAATTTTATTCTGGTTTATATATGCATGTTATATAAATGCTTTAGAAGCTTTTCTGCTATTCTAATAAAGTTCAGCCTGTTGAGTAAAACATTTCTTCGATCTACTTTTTATTATAATTGTTTTTAGCCAAATGGTATTTCGAATTTCAAAAAATCTTATTTTAAATTATAACTTTTTAACTTGTATTAAAGCTATTTTACTTAATAATTTCGCAGTTAATTTTGCTTATTAATAAAAAAATTGGAAGTTTCGAGCCAATTTCCAATACTCACTTCGCTTCTCAGGAACACACGAAATATTTCGGCAAATGGATGGGCAACATCACACTTGTACATATGCAACATTTGAATTAAGATATACGATATTACAAATTTTTATCCTCGCATTTCCTTTACCTTTCTTCCTTTTCTTCCAATAAATTTCGGTGACTTAAAGTGCAAGGATAATCCAAAAGTCATTAAACTTCATAAAATTTTACTTTATAGATATTACAATGTATATTAGGAAAAATACAGATATACTCGAAATTACAGGGTTTTATAAAGAAATTTTATGATGCAAATATTTTAAACACAAATATGCTCACGAGACGGCATTGTACATTGGAAAATCTGAACACATGACTCTATTTTTTTAAAAAATTTTACTGTTATGCGTCAGCTTTTCTAGACCCGTTACAAAGCAACCTAAATGAAAAGAAAGTTAGGATTTTACGAGATACATTCAGACTGCAACATCACACCATTTTTCTTCTATCTTAATTTCAAGTTTGGCTAAGGTAATCTAAAACGCCATCGCAAAATCGATCACAAAATTAGTATGGTCGCACAGTATAGCCACACAAATTTCCAAACGTGAAGTGACTTTTCATTAAAGGATTATACAAAGTGGCATATATAGAGAGACATATCAACATCAGGGGCAATGTGAAATGACGGTATGCAACTTCAATTAATGATAATATGCAGTATCAACGATTCCTATACAAGAGCTGTTGTGTTGGTTTCTTCCATAAATCTTAGCTAGTCTGTAGGCAATGTTCAACAATTATGAGTGCTCTATTCAGCATTTATTATGAGTAATTTTGCATTATTTTATGGATAAAGCGCCGTCTGATGAACATAACCGCAATTTAAATGTTTACACAGCAAAATTAAGTACTGAAAAATTGTCTGAGCAGTTTCAAACATTTGTGTGTTAATTGAAATAAACATAGAAAACTGATGAACACAAAAAACAATTACTCTCTTATTGAGTTTTGGATTATTATTTTCTTAAAAAAGAAGGTAAACAACTTACAAGATTCCAGTTCAATAGTGCAAACTTGCGAATCCATGGGATAGCGGTACAAATCCATCATACAGGAGAAACGCAGTTTTAATCTGAAACCAAAATGGTAGGAGATTGTATAAAATGTTAAATATTTCGTAATAGCATATTACTAACCTAAAATGAAGTTAGGGTTTAGAATTAAATGTTCATGTAGCAGAGCCTAGTAGTAGTCACTGCACTGTCCATAGAAACGAAACATGATATTAATGTACTGTATAGAAGCCATTTTTTAAAAATGATTTAAAATTAAGAGTTAATCGTACGCAAATAAAGAAGGTAAAATGTACGAATAGTATTTATTAAAGATAAAAGGGTACTGATTTCGAATATTAATAATCTTACAGAAGTTCAATTAAAAGGCACTTTGTTAAGAAGTCCTGTTAAAAATTCTTCACTGCATTTATTTATAATTTTTATTTACTCTAAAGAAGGTAAGTCCAAGAACTACATCTTTTCAGGCATTGATTTATGATGCTTTCTATCACAGTATCAGAAGCGTTAATTATATATTATCCGAAATCAATATAATTCTTAATTTTTAAATTTGTTAGAGTTATTTAGGAAGACAAATATACCCGCCTCTCTTATAATAAAAACTGATGCACTATTACTAACTATCGCAGCATTTAAATTTTAAATTTTCATGCCTATTTCTTAAAACAAGTTTTGCGATGCAAAGAATTAACGTTATTACTGCGGGCAACCATAACCTAGTACGCATGCCGTAAAGATTCTTTTTCTAACAATTAAAATTTTAAAAAAAATCCTTTCCTTTCAAAATGCGTATATTATTAAGCTTTTCAGGTATTATATTATACAAAAGAATTAAAATTATGCCATTACCATATAGCTCTCCATGTACTGTAGGGAAAAAATATTATTATTACCTATGGGTGAAACAAAAATTGCATCTATCATTTACAACTTGATCTGTATCTTCTTGAAAACTCTATTAGAATAATTATGATGAAATTTAATGTTATAATAATTTTCATAATAAAACTAACGATTATGCTTGTACCTTATAGCATTCTTTTAATTAAAGAATCAAATAAAGTTTATATCTTTACAATATTTGTAACCCATCTATTTATATGTCAAAGCTTTATGATATTAAACAAGATGAGCACAAAAACAGTCCTTAATTTCAAAATGTTAAGTTGTAGGGATTTATTTCATTTACTTACAAGTTATTTTATGTTTAAACAACCTTTCCTATCGCTCTTGCATTCAACTCACATTTTCTTGCGAGAATGCAAATTGACTAATACGCGTATATTCAGATGAGGTAGGAAGAAGTTAGTTTTTAAGGGAAAATTTCGAAAGGTGGATTTAGAGCGTGTTCTGCCTGAAGGCCATGTTGTTATTTATTATCTTTGATTATCTAATTAGCCATTAGGCTTGTTTACGCCGAATTTCGAGTCAGAGCCAGCTTGCGCGTTATTTAATATGTCTAGCTGTTAGGGTAAATTTAATTTCTTTACTTTTAAATTATTCATTATCATTTGAGTTAAGCAAAATGTGTTGGCTTTGTAAGCACCTAGGAACCTTGAGTTAATAAAGGGTTTTTTACGCCTTTTATTAACTCAAGGTTTGTAGTATTTTAAAGACTTAGTTATTATTCACTGTTTGTGACAACCAAGCGTACAAGATGTTATAACGTAATGGATAGTTACTGTAATAGTTTGATGAAGTTTTGTTCAAAGTTCAGTTAACTCAAAATATGTTTATATCTTTCTTTCATGAATCGCTAGGTCTGACTCGTAGGCACGTAACAATACTGCTACCAAATTAATTTGAACCGTAATTTTTAAATCATTAATTATTGTTTTATACTGAGATTAAATTTGTTACATCTGCATAAAATAAAGAATTCACTTTAGAAATTTCACTAAAAATTTTCTTTTCACAATATATGTGCAAGAGAAAAATAAACGATACCATACTTGTCCTGCGCAAAATGTTATGAGTAAGAAACACAAATTCGCTTTGAGTTTTCAAGAATGATCTATTATCCACTAGCGAATGAAAATGTTCAACTGCCATTTAAATTTCGCGTAACGTATCCATGAATGCAGTGAAATTCATCGTCCACTGTAAAAGCACGAATTGTTTGACCAATATCGGACAACACAATTTGATATAAAGTGCAAAATGTTGTTCCTTTCGAACAAGCTAAGTGTTATTTGTCTCATGTGCTTTCTAGAACTTTGGAAAAGCGGTTTGCTTCAGAAACGGAGAGAGAATTTCTATTGGAAATATTTTAACTAGTTCAGCAGCATTGGACTTAGTTTAAATAATTTGAGCTCACTGAGCATTCGTTCGGTATTTAATTTTCCTTCAGATATTTAATTCTACATTTATATGACATGAAAACTTTAGTAGTTAAACTCTTTTATCAAATTTTCAAATTCCAATAAGTGCAGTGAATAAGTAAAGCATCTTGTAAATCTCATTTTTCTGAGCGAATATTAATTTCAGAAAATCACATAAGTAGCCATTAGAGTTTCTGAAATATTTAAACTGTAAACCACATTCATTTGCCTGAATACATTAGAAACTAAAAAATACTTTTTAATATACTAAGCAATTCAAATTAGAATTTCACTTAACACAGTTGGTTTTAAGAATGTATACTCTTTTGTAACATTTATAAACTATTCATTTGCATGAAAATACGCATGCACTATATACATATATATTTTATGAAATTAACACACCATTTACATGAAAAAAATATAAAAAAATTATAAGGATATGGTTAATTAAAAATAACAGGTGAATAATTGTTACTCATTTGGATGATTTATTCCAACCATTTCTTTATATCAAAGAATTCGTTAATACTGTCTGTTTGAATTTTTTTTCCTTCGTGTATTTCGTTATAACATCTGACTGATTTTCGAAATTGATAGCCTAAGCATAGCCGTAAGAGTAAGTCTTCGTAAAACCGAGGTAAATTTTGCGGTAATTAACCGTAAACGGTTAATTACCGCAAAATTTAAAGTAGTTAAAATATTTATGGTGCTTACGACTAGCTCGTAATACATAAAAGTACTGGGAATTATACGAAATACTTACTTGTTGATATCAACATATAGATAATGAACAGATTTTTAAAACCAAAAATTATAATCGTAATTTTAAGCTGAAATTAGGAGAGACAGGAAAGAAGCTTTAACTTAAAAATAACTGTTATAAACTTAGTATAAACCTTACATCTTTCCCCACCAGAATTTAATTATTCGAAGAATAAGGTCTCCAATTGACCTTGTTTAAGAGTTTAAATTCTACAAAACTTCTTAACACTTCAGCGTTAAACTTCTAATACTCTGCTTCCTTAAATCACTCTCATTATCATTCGAAGTGTCTCAGGACGTCGTAGAGCAAGATTTGAAAACTATTGTTTTAAAATCTCTATTCAATAGGAAATCAATAACAATTTCCAGTTGTTTTACAAATTTCAATAATTTAGCGAATAGATTGCTTCACAACTTAGCAATTAGTTTAAAACTACTTATTTAAAAGCCATTAATTTTAATTTTCCACCAATTTTTACATGTTGTTAAATATTTCTATTAATTATAATGTAGTGTTTCTCCCTTTTATCTAATAAATAAGCGTGGAGGAACCTAGTGAACAGCTAAGCGAATAATCGCTTAAGTTCGGTAACAGAACCGTAAAACACCAGAAGGTTTAATTACCTTTTATTGCTCAAAATAAGGATTAACAGATGGTCCCTTTCTCAGGACGTACAACAAAGCCTCCACTTGGGCTTAAACTCAAAATTATAAGAAATAAGAACTTAATTAATGACTAACTAAAGACATTTAGCCGAAACCAACACATTTCTAAGTAGTTGGCCCCTAAATATCGAATTAGCTAGCGAAGCTATCAACGGCCCGTAATACGGCCAAGCGTAATAACAGGTTAGAGAGATGTGGACAAAAGGCAAACGCGCGCTAGTCAGAAACTCTGCTTCTCTCTCCCGAAGTTAGTAACGACAATGTAAGCATATATTATGAACTATGTAACTATAAGCATATGTTATGAGCTATGTAAGCATGTATACAGGACTAATGTATGCCCTTATAGGCCCCATGAGGTGTTGCCCGGGATAGTTGCGGAACCTGGACTAGACCCGAATAGTCTTAGTAAGTCGCACGGGTGTCCAGATTCTGCTCTCAACTCAACTCAACTCAACTCCCGAAGTTAGTGGAACATCGGCTTAAATACTACCCCTTCTCAGCTGCATTAAACGCTATTCTAAAAACGCATTCTGGTAAGGAAATTGTAAGATGAAATTAAAAGAGAAAGGAAAGGAGCTTTAACTTAAAAGTAACTATTATAAACTTAGGCTAAACCTTACAATATATTATTGCGTGTGTACGGTTTCATAATAGAGTGAACGCAGAAATCCGATAAAAAGTTAACAAAATTTATTCTTATCACAAGAAATATAACAAAAATGCTGGATTTTTCTTCAAAGATATTCGTACAGTATCACAATATCACGCAGTAGTTATATTTTAAAATACTAAGATGTTAAATAGAACACAATCCAAAGCTCAGAGGAAGCTAACCTGTTCAACAAAATTTACCGCATCTAAAATTATTAACATGTTCCTCCCCAGCTTTTAGAGCTTTTTAATCAGTCACGAGAAGCTTCTGGTAATTTCCGTGTTTTGGAAATTTCTGGAAAGCAAACGGGTAGAATTACGAGATATCTATTTATTAAATGTTAAGTGCGCGTGCTTCTGTATTTTTACTTTTCTGGCGTAGGTTTCTGTTAAAATAAGTCTCGTGCATGGGGATATAAAACACTTTTAATCATAATTCTACTAAAAATAGCAAACTAAATCCAAAATACGTAACAATATTTATATTATTTTACTTAAAATTCCGTCTCATTATCTGCGATAGTCTTCACCCTCTTAGAAATGATAGCACAATCGTCATACTTGAAGAAGAAATGCTTTAAAACACTGAATTTTTTGAAGATTTTTGTGAACATAGCCTGGTCCAGATCTTTGCGCTATGCTCCGTGTTT